ACTTCTGCCGTTTCCCACACTCTCCCACACCACACTACCATACGAAAGTACTTTCTTTGATCTGAATTCACTGCACATTTATTCAAACACTCTCTGAAAACCTACTGTGAACCAGGCATTATGGGAGGCATTAGGGCTATATATCTGAGTAAGTTATGGCCTTTCTTAAGAGATAAATAAATATGTAAATAAATACTATATAGATTGTGATTAATAATGCAAGAATAGAAAGGTTTGCTCTCTCCCTAAGACACTTAACCTAACAATATAAAGAATGACATTCTAGACTGGGCACAGTAGCTCATGCCTGTAATCCCAGCACTTTGGGAGGCTGAGGCAGATGGATCACCCGAGGTCGGCAGTTTGAGACCAGTCTGACGAACTTGGAGAAACCCCATCTCTACTAAAAATACAAAAATATCCAGGTGTAATCCCAACTACTTGGGAGGCTGAGGCAGGACAATCACTTGAACCTAGGAAGTGGAGGTTGCGGAGAGCTGAGATTGTGCCATTGTACTCCAGCCTGGGCAGCAAGAGCAAAACTCAATCTCAAAAAAGAAGAAAAAAGAATGACATTCTAGTAATATCTGGAAGGATGAGTTGGAATTTGTTATCTGGCCACAAAAGCATAATCTAAGCAAAGTAAAAATATGTACAAAGGCACAGAGATAGGAAATTAAACCACTTACTTGAAGAGTTGTAAATAATTCATAATAACCAGGCCAGATGCAGTGGCTCGTACCTATAATCCCAGCACTTTGGGAGGCTGAAGTGGGCAGATCATTTGAGGTCAGGAGTTTGAGACCAGACTGGCCAGTATGGTGAAACCCCATCTCCACAAAAAATACAAAAATTAACTGGGCAAGGTGACACACACCTGTAATCCCACCTACTGGAGACACTGAGGCAGGAGAATCACTTGAACCTTGAGGGCAGATGTTGCAGTGAGCCAAGATCGTGCCAGTGTGCTACACCTGGGAAACAGAGTCAGACACCTTCAATAAAAAGTAAAATGAAATAATAATTCAGACTGACCAAACCGTAAGCTTGAAGGTGGGGCTAAAAGGAAGGATGGGAAGGTGGAGCTAGACAATAAAAGATCTTTTCTGTATTAAAAATGTATGGGCTTTTTTCTGGAATAGTGTAATCAGATGTACTTTTTCTTTTTTTGAGATGCAGTCTCACTCTGTCTCTAGGCTGGAGTGCAGTGGCACAATCTCAGCTCACTGCCACTTTCGACTCCCTGGCTTAAGCAATTCTCCTGCCTTAGCCTCCCGAGTAGCTGGGACTAAAGCACGCACCACCACACCCAGCTAATTTTTGTATTTTTAGTAGAGACAAAGTTTCACCATGTTGGCAGGATGGTCTCAAATCTCTTGACCTCATGATCTGTCTGCCTGGGCCTCCCAAAGTGCGGGGATTACAAGGATGAGCCACTGTGGTTGATCAGATGTACTTTTTTAAAAGAAGTTCCGGCCAGGCGCGGTAGCTCACATTTGTAATCCCTGCACTTTGCGGGCAGAGGTGGGCAGATCACCAGAGGTCTGGAGTTAGAGAGACCAGCCTGACTGTGAATATCATGAAAGACAAAGGAAAGAAGTGAAGATTAAAAGAGACTAAATATACATTAAATCTGTACATAATGCATAATTCTGGATATTATTTCCATAAAGGATTTTATTGGAATGATTGGAAAAATATGAATAAGGTCTGCAAATTACGTGATAGTATACATACTCAGTTTTATTTCTGTAATTATACTGTGGTTACGTAGGAGAATTTTCATTTTTAAAGAAGTATACATTGAAGTACTTAGGGCAAAGGAGTGTCATACAACTTGCTCTCAAATGATTATTTGAAAATCACGTATAGAACAGTGATGTTCACAGCAGCAGCATTGACAATAGCCAAAAGTAGGGTCTGTCTAAGTGTGCATTGGTGGATGAATGGATAAACAAAATGTGGTGTATACATGCAATGGAATATTATTCAGCCTTAAAAAGGAAGGACATTCTGACATAATGCTACCTTGAAGACATTGTGCTAAATGAAAGTCACAAAAGGACAAATATTGTATTAATCTGCTTATATGAGGTATATATAGTAGTCAAATTCATAAGGACAGAAAGTAGAGAGATGGTTGCCAGAGCCTGGAGGAGGAGGGAATGGTGAGTTATTGTTTAATGAATGGGTATAGAGTTTGACTGTGGGAAGATGAAAAGGTTCTGAAGATGGATAAAGGTGATGGTTGCACAACAGTGTGAATGTGCTTAATGCCACTGAACCATACACTAAAAAATGGTAAAATGGTAAGTTTTAGGTTCTGTTTTACCACAGTTTTGAAAATTAAAAATAAGTCATGTACGGAGGGGGGAGTTTTAAAAAGTAGTCAAATGAACAGTTACCATCTGAAGAGGTGGATAGAATTAAGAATGAAGGTAGAGGAATCAATTAAAAGGCTGTTGTAATAATCCACTGTGATGGTGCAGATGGCGAAAATGGATGCATCTAAGACTTAATATGTAGTATTAGAGACTAATAGTATACTATTTTAGACTGCTTCATCACATTCAGCTTCTGGTAGATGGTAGTACTGTTACCAAAACACAGTCAGGCACCACATAGCAGTATTTCAGTCAGTGACTCACCACACATACAACAGTGGTCCCATAAGATTATAATGAAGCTGAAAAATTCCGATAATCTAGTGACGTAGCCATTGTGACATCATAACACAATGCATTACTCACATGTTTATGGTGAAGCTAGTGTAAACAAAGGTGTGCTGCAAGTGGTATAAAAGTATAGCACATACAGTTATGTACAGTATATAATTCTGGATAATAAATGATTATATTACTGGTTTATATATTTGTTATTTTTAGAATGCATTTCTACTTATTAAAAAAAAGTTAACTGAAAAATAGCCTCACATAGGTCCTTCAGGAAGTATTCCAGAAGAAGACATTGTTACCATAGGCAATGACGGCTTCAAGCCTGTTGTTGCCTCTGAACACCTTCCAGTGGCACAAGATGTGGAGTTAGAAGACAGTGATGGATGATCCTGACCCTATGTAGGCCTTGGCTAATGTGTGTATTTATTGTCTTAGATTTTAAGAAAAAAGTTCAAAAAGTAAAAAATGAAAACATTTTATAATAGAAAAAAAGGCTTATTGAATAAGGATATGAAGAAAGAAAATATTTTTGTACAGCTGTATAATGTATTTGTGTTTTAAGCCAAGTGTTATTAAAGAGTCAAAAAGTTAAAAAGTGTGTAAAGTTAAAAAGTGTGTAAAGTTAAAAGCTAAGGTTAATTTAGTTTCAGTTTTTTAAAATGTAGTATAACATAAATGTATAAAGTTTTTAAAGTCTGCAGTGGCATACAGTAATATCCCAGGACTTCACATTCACTCACCATTCACTCATTGACTCACCCAGAGCAACTTCCAGCCCTGTAAGCTGCATTCATATTAAGTGCCCTATACGGGTGCACCATTTTTTATCTTTTATATTATGTTTTTTACTGTATATTTTTGATGTTTAGATACACAAATACTTACCATCATGTTATACTTACATATAGCATTTGGTAGAGCAGTAACATGCTGTACAGGTTTGTAGCCTAGGAGTATAGACTATATACCATATGGTCTAGGTATATAGTTGGCTATACCATCTAGGTTTGTGTATGTATACTCTGTAATGTTTGTACACTGACAAATTGTGCATTTGTAACAATGCATTTCTCAGAACATATCTCTGTCATTAAGCAACACATGGCTGTACAGTAGTTATGAGTAGATGCCTAGGCTTCTGTCTTTACCCGATGATTCGCCTGCCTAACACAAATTTACTCTTCATAAGTTGGCTCACATGTTATGAGAAGTCCTCCCTGAGGCTCCAAACAGTTATTACCTTTACCACATACCCTTTCTTGGAGTGAATTAGTCTTTTTCTCTTCCTAGATTTTGTGATAGCATATTTTGCATTTGTTATAACAATGTATCAAAATAGATGGTTTATCTGGGCTTCCATATTCTGAGCTCCTGCAGAGCAGAAACCATGGTCATGTTTATGAATCCATGCCAACTTTCATAGAGTGTGGTGTATGACAGGTACTCGGTAAATGTTTGAATGAAATCAGTATGTTACCATGTACCTATGCTATTTTTCTTCATAATATATTTTCTTCTTTCTTTCCAGGTCCCCAAAGTTTATACTCTACTTTCATAGTCCTGTAACTGGTCTTTCTACTTTTATTTTGTAGTTCCTCTGTAGCAGACTATACATTAATGTCAGATTAGTGGAATTCCATATTTTGGAATAGATGTATAATATCTTCCCATTGTCTAAAGAATAAGTTCAAGTTCACCAGAAGGACTTGAGATCCTTCATACTATGTTCTCAGAATATACCATCTTTATTTCAGTTTCTGTTTACTTGCCTGCCTAACTTTATTCAACAAGTGTCTGAACACCTGCCTTTTGTAAGGCTTTGTTAAAGAAGAAAGTTTACTAAATATGATATATGCTCATTATCTTTGTGTTCACTTTTGGTACCTCATTTCCCTTTACTACTTCATTTCATATAGAAGAAAATAATCTTGGGAGAACACTCAGCCATATTAATATTTAATCTAGAAGTTCCATTTTAGAATAAAACATGACTAATATAATGAAGTTTAAGATAGGTGGCAAGCCATTCAGCACAGTGTTTGCCTCATAATAAAAGTTCAATAAATGTTTAAACTGAATTAATTTTGTTTAAATCTTTAAAGACAGAAATGTAAGTTTATGTTGATAACAAAGAAAGTTACTTGTTTATTGTTTTAAGCCTATGGAAACTTGTCTTTTAGTCTATGGTAGTTTAACCATTAACATTTGAACTTTGCTTACTATATATTATTTATAGTTGTAGCACTTTAAAACACAAAATCAGAATATATGTAAGAATTCTACATTACACATTTTCAAAACTTTCTTTTTACATTCTCTTTATAGGTTATATGTAAAGTCAGATGTGCCACTGAACTTGACAAACACAAGTAAGTTTTATGAGTATCTGAATTTCTATCTAAAAGATCTAAAGTATTAATTCATTAATATTAAGGCTTATTATCTAAATGATATAATTTTTTTGTATAGTCAACAACTCATTGTAGAAGGGAGTGGTTGTTGAGAGCACCTTTATGGTTTTATAAAAATCAAGTTGTTAGATTGGCTCAAAGAAAGTAAATTGAGTAGCCCACATTTCTCTCCCTGCAGCCATACCATACTGCTAATATATTTTGTTTGTTTTGGCTTTTGATTTTTTGCTGCTCTGTCCCTGTCTTGTTTGAAATGTCATATCTAATTTCAGTAGGGTCCACTTTTGCCAAACTTAGATTATGCTGTTTGGGGTGAGAATGTTCTGTGAAATAAGTAATATTTCAGTACTGATCAATCTCAAAAGCAAGATTTCTAAGCTGTGGAGTCAGGAGATTGGAGTTTCTCACTAACTTGCTGACTGTGCAACTCATGTACCCTCTCTCTGCTTTAGTTTTCTAAAGTCCTCTAATTATCTGGATATATCGGTAATTTCAAGTTCCTTTTTGGGTTTCAAACTATGTAATTATTTTTATTATTTAATCTGAGAGAACTTTAAAATACTACCTTTTAAAACTAAAATCTTTGTGCTTTGCATGTATACTAAACACTTTAGTTTGCTTGTTACAGATTGTACATTACCTTCAGTTTACCTCATTTAAACCATTTCCAAAGGCAGCTACTTTATGATTTCCACTACTGAAATGACCCAATAGATCAGGAAGCCAGATAAATTTCAGCATCATATGTATTTAATTTGGGAGTATAAATGTGTTTGAACTGGGATTACATTCGTACAGACGGTTGTTACTGCTTCTTGATACAGATAGCAACCTTAACTGAAGAGTTGTTATGAAGTAGCCTAACTTTTCTTAGGGGGAAAAGGTTAAGGATTTCATGTGCAGAGTTGCTCTATATCCACAGTAAATATGCAACTTTATAAGAATGTGAGGTATTGATGAGTGCTTGAAACTTTACCTATACGGTATGTTCTTCTTTAGTCAAGTTTGAAAGTATTGTTTGCTATAATCAGAAGTTCATGAGGAATATTGCTTAAAACATACTTTCTTTAACTCTTAAATTTTTTTTTTTAAGGCAGTCTGCTCTCTCACCCAGGCTGCAGTGCAGTGGTGCTATCTTGGCTCACTGCTACCTCCACCTCCTGGGTTCAAGTGATTCTGTGCCTCAGGCTTCTGAGTAGCTGGAACTACAGGCGTGTCCCACCACACCCAGCTAATTTTTGTATTGTTAGTAGAGGTGGGGTTTCACCATGTTGCCCAGGCTGGTCTCAAACTCCTGACCTCAAGTGATCTGCCCACTTCTACCTCCCAAAGTTCTGAGATTACAGTTGTGAGCTGCCACGCCTAGACTAACTCTTAAAATAAATGTTAGGTAATCAATATAAATTTAGATACAGTATATTAATTTCCAGGTACATTATAAAAGCCTGATAATTCTTGGAATGGAAAGGTTAATGAAAAAATGTTTAATAGTTATAAAAATGAAAAATTCAGTATTACTTGAAATAGTGTTAAAAGAGTCCTATCTCATTCCTGGTAGAGACAACTTAGTTCAAGTCAACATGAGACTATTTCTGAATAAATGCTTAAAAATCTATGCCATTCTTAAATAATCTAGACACTAATTTTATAACAGCAAAGATAGCTCAAATAACTCTGATAGATTATTAAAATTCCTTTTAATGAAATTATAAACATTTCAAACTGAAGGAATTATTGTACCTAAAGTAACACACTAATTCAGAATTTAATTTCTGATTCGTTATATAACTATCTAATATACTTTTTTTCTTTCAGAATTCTACTGCATTTGGGCTTTATATTGGCAAGCCTTGTCTTTTTAGTGGTGAACTTGACTTGTGCAATGCTAGTTCATGGAGATGTCCCAGAAAATCAGTTGAAATGGACTGTGTTTGTTCGAGCATTAATTAATGATAGCCTGTTTATTCTTTGTGCCATCTGTTTAGTTAGTTACATATGCAAAATTGCAAAAATGTCGTCAGCAAATGTCTACCTCGAATCAAAGGTAAGTATATTTCTTAAATGGGCACTTAAACATCTAATTTCAAATTCTTATCCTACAAATCACATTTTAATGGAAAGTTTAAATTGCTATTTTATTTGAAATGGGGTCTCGCCCTATTACTCAGGCTGGAGTGCAGTAGCTATTCACAGACGTAATTATTGTGCAGTACAGCCTTGAGCTTTTGGGCTCAAGTGATCTTCTGCATCATCCTCCCAAGTAGCTGAGACTACAGGCATATTGCTTTTTTAAAAAATATCCTGAATGACAGTTACACTTTGAGCATGAAACAATAATCACTAGAAAGTTAAAGTTATTGAGTATTTGGTCCTTACTAAATAACGGTTTAAAGAAATGAAATAATATAATAAGCATATTGTATTTTCTGTGACTCTGCATTGGAGGCTCATCACATGAAATAAATCAAATATATATGAATGGATCAAAAATAGTCTATAATATAAAGCCACACTATCATCTTAAGATTTTGCCCAGTAAGGGTGGCGGGATTAACAATATTAAGATGTCATATAGGTAAAAGTTGTTTTTATTTGTATAAAGCTAAGAAAATGTTAACTTCACCCAATAATATGAAGTCTGTATGATACTTGAAACAACTAATTGTGTAGCAAAATTTGTAAATGCCTTGCATCTCCTTTCCTTACACTTTGGATCAACAAACAGAAGCCAGATACTAACCCATCACAAAGAAACTTGGAAGTTTCTATTCTACCATTGTTGATTGACCATGTGGTTGAGTAGAAATTGGTCATCACAGTTTATGTGTGGCATTGAGTGTGAGGGGTAGATATGTGGATATTGGGGTGTGGGTATGTACATACAAACATTTTTACAATCACTTTCACAGAAGAGCTTGCTTTCTTGCTTTAATTTGACATCATTGCCTATTCATAAATAATAAATTGAGGTAGTACGTTAGCCAATTAAAACAGTCCTCAAATATTTTTAGGCTACTATATTGTCATTGTTCTTAATATAGTCCTGGTAAAGTAAGGTACTATAATTAAATATATGGCAACCAACTTGTACTTTAAATGTAGTCAGAGATTTTAATTTTACTTTAAAAACATATTTCAGTGGAATGCTGGAGAAAATACTATATGTGTGTATATATATGTATATATGTATATATATAAAGAGAGAAAGAAAAGATAAAGAAAATCAGACTTTCAAACCTATTAATCTTACCTGGAAAATTATTTTATTAAATTTCTATTCCAGTTTCTTTCAAACATTTAAATATTCTAGCTAATTCGGGCCTTCGGTTTGACTGTTAAGAATAAAACTGTCACTGTTATGGTTCATAATCTATTGGTAGGAGCAATGGCATCTTTACTCAGGATACTAACATCACTATAGAATTCATACCTCTTGCTTGTCTAGGGATAAAGCATAAACAGATGTTGAATTTCAAGTCTTCTTCTCTAGATACTTAGTGTATTGCTAAATTTGGTTTTTTACTTGCTTTGAAATAGATAATACTCTGAATAAAGTCACCAATCTGAGAAGAAAATTTCATTTACTAAATCCTCCAGAATTATTCCAACACTGTTCCCTTGCTCTCATATGAAAGGTATTCACTTATTGTTATTTAAAGTTTTAAATTTAAAAGCTGCATGGATTCAGAATTATCCAGGAATACTACAGATATACATGTTTAGTCATATTCACCTATAAAAGTAGATGACATACTAGATGATTTGTTAATATTGTAATGTTAAGTAGTTCCCAATCTTCCTAACTAGATTATAAACTTCTGTATTCCAAGAGCATGTTGGCTGGGCGAGGTAGCTCACACTTGTAATCCCAGCACTTTGGGAGGTCGAGGCAGACAGGCAGATCATGAGGTCAAGAGATCGAGACCACCCTGGCCAACATGGTAAAACCTCCTCTCTACTAAAAATGCAAAAATTAGCCGGGTGTGGTGGCATGCGCCTGTAGTCCCAGCTACTCAGGAGGCTGAGGCAGGAGAATCACTTGAATCCAGAAGGCAGAGGTGTCAGTGAGCCAATATCACACCACTGCACTCCAACCTGGGCAACAAAATCAAAACTGCGTCTCAAAAAAAAAAAAAACACGTCATCTTGCTTTCATGTTCCACTTGTAAAATCACTAGACTCATTTTTGGCTTTTGAGTTCTGTAGAAGTGTACAGTAATAATCATTCCTTTTATTCAGTGAACAAGTGTTAACATCTACCTCTTTAACTTTCTTTTTTTTTTTCTCTCTCTCTCTCTCTCAATACCTTTGGTACTTTTTCACCATTAAACTGACCCTGTTTCTTGCTGTCCTAAGAGCATTTCCTTAAAGTTCAGGCTTTTGGTTTTCTGTCATCCTCTTTTTATTACTCCTTCCTTCCTTTTCATGTTCTGTGATAATAAGATCCTCTGTAATTTGTCTCAACCAGTCTTGCCTTTCTTATTTCCAAATGACACACACACAGTATGCCCTCTATCTCTATATCCTTAGGCTGTTTTATTAAGCAGGAACAGCCTTCCTCCTCCTACACATCTCTACCAGATTGTTCATATCTTATCCAACTTTAAAGACCTCACTTAAACTTTCCCCTTTTTATGAACTCAATTTGATCCCTCTCCCCCAACTCCAAAATAAAATTTGGAAATAACTCCCACTATCTGAATTATCTTCAAATTTTATTTATTTCTATTGGGGCACTTAACAGTTTATACAAGGTGGGATTTTTATGTGCAATCTAATTTTTTTCTATTTTTTAACTGACATGTCAATTGTACATATTTTGGGGGTACTTGTGATATTTTGCTACATGTAAACAATATATAATAATCAAATCAGAGTAATTGGGATATCATTGCCTCAAACATTTATATTTTCTTTGTGTTGGGAACATTACAGTTCTTTCTAGTTATTTTGAAACATATAATAAATTGTTATTCACTATAATTTCCATAATGAACAGTTGAATACTAGAACTTATTCCTTCTATCCAACTGTATTTTTGTACTCATCAACCAACTTCTCTTCATCCTCCCCTACCACTCTTCCTTTTTCCGCCTCTCATAACCATCATTCTACTGTACCTCCATGAGATCAATTTTTTTAGCTTCCACATGAGTAAGGGCAAGTATATTTGTCTTTCTGTGCCTGGCTTATTTTACTTAACATAATGAACTCCAGGTCCATCCATGTTGCTTCAAATGACAGGATTTCATTCTTTTTATGCCCATGTAATGGTTCATTGTATACATATACCACATTTTATTTATTCATTCATCTATATGTTGATGGACACTTAGGTTGATTCCATATCTTGACTAAAATGAATAGTGCAACAATAAATAAAGGAGTTGCAGCTGTCTCTTTGACATAGTGATTTCCTTTCTCTTGGATATCTACCTAGCAGTGAGATTTCTGGATCATATGGTAGTTCTATTTTTAGTTTTTCAAGGAACTTCCATACTGTTTTTTGGGTTGGTTGGTTTGTTTTTGAGACAGAATCTCAGTCTGTTGCCCAGGCTGGTGTATAGTGACACACTCTTAGCTCACTGCAAACTGTACCTCCCAGGTTCAAGTAATTCTCCTGCCTCAGCCTCCTGAATAGCTGGGATTACAGGTGCCCACCACCACACCTGGCTAATTTTGTTCGTTTGTTTTTTGGGTTTTGTTTGGTTTTTGACACAAAGTCTTGTTCTGTCGCCCAGGCTGGAGTGCAGTGGCACAATCTCGGCTCTCTGCAACTCTGCTTCCTGGGTTCAAGCAATTCTCCTGCCTCAGCCTCCCAAGTAGCTGGAACTACAGGCACCCACCAACACGCCTGGCTAATTTTTGTGTTTTTAATAGAGATGGGGTTTCGACATATTGGCCAGGCTGGTCTCGAACTCTGGACCTCAGGTGATCTGCCCACCTCATCCTCCCAAAGTGCTGGGATTACAGGCATGAGCCACCACACCCAGCCTTTAATTAATTTTAGTTTAATTAATGGGGTTTCACTATGTTGGCCAGGCTGCTCTCAAACTCCTGACCTGAAGTGATCCACCCACCTCAACCCCCTAAAGTGCTGGGATTACAGGCATGAGCCACTGTGCCCAGCCTCATACTGTTTTTCATAACAGTTGTCCTACTTTACATTCCCATCAACAGTGTACAAGCATTCACCTTTCTCCACATCTCTGCCAGCACTTGTTTTTTGTCTTTTTGATGATAACCATTCTAACTGGAGTGAAATGAAAACCCATTGTGGTTTTGATATGCATTTCCCTGATGATTGGTGATGTTGAGTTTTTTCATTTAACTGTTGACCATTTGTATGACTGTTTTTGTAGAGATATCTGTTCAGGTATTGTGCCCATTTTTAGTTTGACTATCTTTTTGCTATTGATTGTTTGAGTTCCTTATATATTCTGGTTATTAATCCCTCGTCAGAAGGATAACTTGTAAATATTTACTCCCATTCTGTAGGTTGTCACTTCACTTGGTTAACTGTTTCCTTTGCTGCGCAGGAGCTTTTTAGCCTGATGTAATCCTATTTGACTATTACTACTTTCATTACTTTTGCTTTTGAGGTCTTACCCAAAAAATACTTGCCCATATGAAGGTCCTGGAGCATTTCTCCGATGTTTTCTTCTGTACTTTCATAGTTTTAGGTCTTACATTTATGTTTTTAATACATTTTGAGTTGATTTTTGTACATGGTGAAAGATGGGGCTAATTCTTCTGCATATGAATATCCAATTTTCCCAGCAGCATTTATTGAGATTGTGACTTCCCCCCAGTGTATGCTCTTGACAACTTTGTCAAAAATAAGTCGACCGTAAGTGTGTAGATTTATTTCTGGGTTCTCTGTTCTGTTTCACTGGTCTGTGTGTCTGTTTTTATGCCAGTCCCATGCTGTTTTGGATACTGTAGCTTTGCAGTATAATTTAAAATCAAATATTGTGATGCTTCCAATTTAATTCTTTTTACCCAGGATTGCTTTAGCTATTCAGGGTCTTTTGTAGTTTCATA